CATATGTACATATTTATAAATTAATGTATTTTTGACTTATAAGTTAAGAAAATTATTCATCTTAATTAATTAAATAACCCTTATTGTAAATAAACGCTATAGCGAAATGCCGACGGCAACTCGACACTTTTTGATGGTAAACATTTAAAATTTGCTATAAGTTAAGTCAGAAATTCGAAAAACATAGGAAATATATTAGTAAAATTTGGTTCAGTTTCTTCAATCTAAAAAAAAAAAAATTAAATAATATTTTCCTTTATTTTGATAACAATCATCAAAAAATTCGTTCCCTGAAGTTAACATATAACAATGTTATTTAAATGCTGAGAATTGCATTTGTGAGCATAATTTTTGTTGCTACGCTCAAAATGTTAAGCACTATAGACGAATTCTGTTAATTTCTGTGCCGGTGGTGAAATACGCTTTCATGACTCGACTTCGTTTTTGACAGTTTCCACGCTGGTCCGCAATTGAACCTTCTCTATGTTATAAGTTCTCTGATAACATTCACTAGATGTCACCTGCGATAAATCGCTTAATTCCGAAGATATAAAATTTTTCTACCCAAAAAAGTGTGAGGAAAATGTTTTAATTAAATTGTCAACAGCAAACTAACAATTTTGAAGAAAGAAAAATTCATAAAAAAGATGAATAAAGCAAAAGACCTTTGTGAAACTTTATAGGAAGATAAGAAACTTAATGTTTTCGGAATAGGGACCTTTCTTAACTACATTGAGATTAATAGTAATATATATAGACAAGATTGTTTAATATTTGCAGAATGTACATCTCCGAGCGTATTACTGGCATAAAATAAATGATCCTAATAAAAATGAAACAATTATAATAAGGTACAATCTTTTTTTGTGGGTACGCAGAGAACTTTACCGAAGATGATTGTATCATAAATTAGCGCCGCTTCCAATTAACGCCGTCAAAAGTGATAAAGCGACACTGCCTATAATTTGTTGACAGCTAACAGCTGATTGCTGCTGTCACATCTGTTACTCGCTGTCAAGTGAAAAATCCAATTGTATTAGTACGCGATTTTTCGGTGATTTTGTTTCATTTCATACAATTGGGATTAAATTAAATTAAAACAAAATGTGGTACGAAATCTTACCTTCAGCCGGCATTATCACCGCCGTACTTGCAGTGCCAGTGTATGCAATGTGGGGCATCAACAAATTGAGTCTGGGCAATGTAAGTAGACCTTGATTTTGGCATATTCCGGACGACACAGTCAGCTTATATAATCGTGTGCTGTAGCGGAGTGTATCACATCTTTTCCACATAATTAATAAAATCAATTAACTTGTTTCTGTCTTATTTCATAAAATGATCGAATTTGTCAACACATTATTGTTATAAATTGTAATTTTTAAATTTATTCAATAGGCATACCGCCGTAACATGGACGAGCGCTACGATCGAGTTTTGTATCAACGCGACTTCAGACTAACCAACAATCCGTACATTCAAAATGTAAGTATCAACTAGTTCGAGTGAAAATTAAAACACTTTCGACGAGTGTTTGTTTATCAATGAATGTTTAGAAGACATAAATCGTACTTGGTAATAACTTGATAGAAAAATTGTGCTTATATTTTTTGTTATTTAAATTTAAATTATTTTTTTTCACCTTTTATAAAAAGTGACAAAATTGCTTCGAAATAATTCTTAAAGAAAAGGATTTATTTATCGTGCATCTATTAAGGCTAATAACATTTACTTTTATATGTATAATAAATATTAGATCATAGATGCAAATAGTATTACAATATTTAGGAAAATAATTCAAACTTGTAATTGAAAACCATGCCGCTCAACTCCTTTTCGTCATTACATTGCGCATTTCTCTTACTTCCACAGGGATTGGAGTCCATTCCAGATGAAAAATGAATGTCGTGTAAATATGCAATATATCGTGTAATATTAACAAAAAATCTTAAATAAAATATGTAAAACTTTAAGCAAATTCTTTCCTTTACGATTGAATCCAACCAAATCAGCTGTTGACACTAATATCTTTTGCCCTTTTGTATAGTCCTTTTCGTATCGTGAAACATCCCTGCGCTAAAACCGGAAAACCACCCCTAACAATGCCTACTATCCATTATCCTCCCACTTGTCAGTCACACATCATAAGGCGTCTTCAAAAGGCAGGAAAAAATAATTTCATTTTTAGGCATTTAAAATTTACTGGAAGATAGTAAAAAAAATTGTTTATTCTATCATTAATCTGTTACTAAAGTTGAGTACGAACTCCCTATCGCTTAAAATGATAAAAAATCCACTCAGAAATTAGTGAAAAGTACGATTTTTCACATTTTCCAACGCCAAGTCGACACGATGAAGTGCTTGCGCAGTGTGAAAAAGAGGGCGCAGGTGACAGAAAACATCAGAAGCCATTCGGCACTTGGTGTGGGTTGTATTGCTACTGAAAGCGTTAGCAATAAACTAAAGTGGAAGTGTGGCAAAGGCGGCAATTTTCCCGTGGGCCACCTTATCAATGCTTGTTGTTTTTTTCTTCGGACTTTTGTTTTGCTCGCGGTCGCTGCGGTATTTTTGTTTACAATCGACAGCGTTAATGCTGCCGCCACTGCACTTAAGGCGCCGCTAGAGGATGATAGTGCGGCGTTGGGTGGACACCATCAACATAATCATCATCATCATCAATATGCTGGCGCGGTGAAGGCAGAGCGCTATCACGAACAAGAATACGGAGAGGAAAGAGGCTATTGTGCGCCATATAACGGTAAAATATGTAAACAATATATAAGTGGACAGGTATGGTATAGTCGTGAAGATCCAACGGGTGGCTGGAAGAATGAGCAGATAACAACTGCTTTGTGGGAGGAATTAATTGCCGACCTGACGGGATTATGTCGCCAAGCGGCAGAGGTGAGTGACCGTTTATACGAGATAACGGTAATAAGCTTAAGGATTTAATGCATATTTCTTTATGTCCCATACAGAAAATGCTTTGCGCCTATGCATTTCCACATTGTCAAACGGAAAATGGACGCACAATAAAAGTGCCGCTCTGCTATGAAGATTGTACTGCTATACATTTGCAATTCTGCTACAATGATTGGGTGTTGATTGAAGAGAAGAAAGAACGAAACATATATTTGAAGAGTCGTGGCCATTTCCGTTTACCCAACTGTGGCGTACTGCCCCGATATAATGCCACGACGAAGAAGCCGAATTGTTCGTACATTGGCCTAACGGAAATTAAGGAAGATGAAATCAGCTGTAAGTTAAACGCCTGGGAATTCATACAGCATAAATGATACATTTTATACTTTTTGAATTCTCTCAACAGACGACTGTCGCAATGGCAATGGACGTTACTATCTCGGCACCGTAAATGTGACAAAATCAGGTTTACCCTGCCAACGATGGGACATTCAGCACCCGCATAAACATATCCAACCGCCACAGGTGTTTCCACAAATTGCCGAAGGTGAAAATTACTGCCGTAATGCTGGGGGCGAGGAGCCATACCCGTGGTGTTATACGCTCGACGCGACTGTGCGTTGGCAGCATTGCGAGATACCACTTTGCCGTAAGCAACAATATTAGAACATTTAAAATTGTTTGCTAAACATTTTCCTTCACTTTACAGCCGACTACATTGATCTCAACGCCAAAGATATGAACGCGCCAATAAAAATGGAAACTTTCTTCACACCCTCGATGATCTTTCTGCTAGCCGGTATTGGTTTTGTTGGCATTGTTGCTTTGCATTTGATTATTTTGTTGGTGCACAAGATCTCCAAACATAAAGAGTTCTCTTTGCAACAACAACGTCAGCCGGTGCCCACATCCGAGTGTAATGTTTCGGTGCGTGGCGAATGTAATTTGACGGAAAGCAGAGAAACTTTAGGTTCGAATAATGCCGTGGCAATCAACAACAAGTGTGGCACTATAAAAAGTACCGCGACAGTGCATAGTGCAGCGGATCCAAAAACAAATTTAAATACCAAATTAGAGAAACTGGAATATCCACGCGGCGATATTGTGTACGTGCGTTCGTTGGGGCAAGGCGCTTTCGGTCGAGTATTTCAGGTACAGAAGAGTGATTAAAATTAATTTTTTTGTTTGAAAATCCGTTTCATGCGTAACAAACACTTAATAACTCCTTAACACACTTTCAGGCCAAAGCACCTGGTCTCGTTGCGGGCAATGATGACTATCTGGTGGCAGTGAAAATGTTGAAAGATGACGCCAGCGATCAAATGCAAGTGGATTTTGAACGCGAAGCTTGTCTATTGGCCGAATTCGATCATTCAAATATAGTTAAACTACTCGGCGTTTGTGCTTTGGGTCGTCCCATGTGTCTGCTCTTCGAATTTATGTCACCTGGTGATTTAAGTGAATTTCTACGCGCTTGTTCACCCTATGCGACACATCAAATACAACAACGTAATCGTCAGGAATTGAACGAAGGTCACTTACTACAGATTGCCGCACAAATTGCTGCCGGTATGGTTTATTTATCCGAACGTAAATTTGTACATCGTGATTTGGCTACACGCAATTGTCTAATCAACGAACAAATGGAAGTGAAAATTGCTGATTTTGGTTTATCACATAAAATTTACCTACAAGATTACTACAAAGGCGATGAGAATGATGTTATACCGATACGTTGGATGCCGCTGGAAAGTATATTATATAATAAGTTCTCTATTGAATCGGACGTTTGGGCTTATGGCATTTGCTTGTGGGAGATCTTCTCCTTTGCACTCCAACCCTACTTTGGCCTGACACATGAAGAGGTGATTAAGTTTATTAAAGAGGGCAATGTGCTCAGTTGTCCGGATAATACGCCGCTCTCGGTGTATGCATTGATGCGTCGTTGCTGGAATCGTAAACCGAATGAACGTCCCAGCTTTGCTGAAATCAATCATTGCATACAGCACAGTCTGGTGGAGTATGAATGCAAGACTATGATGTAGGTTGTGTAGATGGGTTGAAGAGAGATTTTCAAAATACACAGACATAGGTGACAGTCCATACTTCCAACTGGCTATATTCATGCATACATCCATAAATACGTACATACGTACGTAAGGCAAAAGTTATATTTTAGTATAAGTAACAAAAAAAAACATTTCCGTTCGTAAATACTCAGCAGGTGGTTGATCTCGAGCATAAGTTTTGTCATATAGCAATACTTTCAAAGAAACTTACATATATGTATGTATTTGATAAATGTAATTTTATACAATAAGTAAGCACAAAGCACAAATTATATGTATACATTTCCATTTAATAATGTCATAAAACCATAATATTTACTAAAAATGTACTCAAAGAAAGTTGTGTTCAGGCAATAATTTATATAGTTGTGTGCATAGTGTATGCAGAGAATGAAAAACAAAGTTTCCTTATATTTTATATTTTCTTTTATAAGTATACTAAATAACCTTTCTATAAAACAAATGTGCATTTCATATATAAAATTCATATTAAAAGCAATGTATTTTACAAACATATGGAATATTCCAATATAAAACAACTTCCACAGATGCGTTCCAATCAACGAATTATACTGCCGATTTTTATACTCTTTTATAATAATTATGCAAAAATATTTATACAAATAGTGGCCATCATATCAACTTAAATGCATTTAAAATATACCGATAATGTGAAATACTTGCTTTTTACAATAACAATAACTGTGTAATTTAAGTTACTTTAAGTATGATATTTTTTGTAATAATTTATTTACTATAAAAAAAATTAATTTTTTCGAAAATTTGTATATTTAAAAAATATTTAACATCTAAACGCGTGTACATAACATACAGTGGAACATATAAATATACTATATACAACACAATATCGCGTAATTCCATAACAAATAATCGAAATTTGTGTAATAAAATACAATTAAATAAAAGACAAAAAAGATATTAAACACAAAAACAAAAGAAATTATCATCAAATAATATAAGTAACACGTATCATGTTTAAAAAATACAAAAATACATACAAAAATCTGTAGTTTCTTATTAAATAAAATTATTAAGAGAAAAAAGAAAAGCAAAATTAATTTATTTCAATTTCAATTTTCATTAAATAAAATTTAATCTTAATTTATTTATTATATTTAATTTAAAATATTTTAACACACAGTCATGAATAGTTTTTCTCCATCGCATTTTACACCATTTCGTTTATATATTTCGAGCAAAATTTGCATTTGATTTTGGCTTAAGCTTCTTATCTAACCGTTAGTTCAGTTGTTATCGATTGCAATGTTGCTTAATAATCATAGCACAGCCATGGACGGTAGCGACAGTAGAGCGGTACATAAGGTGCATACGTTGCAATGCCCACACCAAGGCCACCAACAACAACCGGTGGTGGTCGTCCATAAAAACGACCATAACCTCTGCCAAATCCAGCACCATAGAAGACACCACCACCGCCACCAAAACCTCTGCCGAAACCGCCACGGCCGAAACCACCTCTGCCGAATCCTCCACGACCGAAACCGCCATGCCCACCACCAAATCCGCCACGTCCACCACCAAATCCGCCACCTCGCCCACCACCACCACCTCCACCATGCCCTCCGCCACCGCCACCGCCTCTAGCAGATGCCATTTGGAAAACTCCAATCAACAGCAAAATCACTACAAGAACCAATTCTATGCGCATCAGCCGTGCCATCTTATAATTTCAACAACTTGTTTCAGACTGAAGACGGCAAGTTCCCTTACACGTCCATTTAAATAAAAAAATCAACAATATTTTTGTGATCAATTAATTAGGACAAATGTTCTAATTAGGAGGCGGTGGGTACTTGCAGGTTTGTAAATATTCTTTACATTGCTGGATGTGTATGTATGTATATATTTTCAAATACTTAACCTTTTAGTAATTGTCTGTGAAATGCATTCAAAATCTTGGGGGTATTCCCCATTTAATTGACAGTGAACTCTTTAGAACTCTAACTCGGTCCTCGTAGGAGCATTCCCAATTCATATCAGGACTGGGGGAGACTGGTTTTGATAGCGTGGAGAGACTGCCTGCTATTGTACCTCCACCAGGAAATGAAACCAAATTCTCAAGTCAGTAGCATCTGGGAAAATGACATCGGTTGGCTCTTGGTAAACTACGCCGGACCGATTGAGATGACGAGCATGAGCAGGCAGCAGGTGAGGGAACTGCAGAAGCCTGCCAGTATATCAGCTGAGACACCAAAACTGAAATCTTCCTGATGTTGAATCGTACATCAACTATGTAACGAGACGTCTGTGGCCCCGTTATGCTCCTCAAACAGTATCAGCTAGGATGCGAGGGGCCACACATAAAGACTTCCGCTTCACCCTTTGTACCTTTCTGATTGAAGATCCATCAGCTTACCCTCCCAAAGCCTTTACGACTACAAGCTGGACGTGTCGTGCAACTAACTGCCCATAAACACCATTCAAAGAGACTGTGTCAGAAATACTGTCAAAACTGAGGTCTGGATACTGCAGTAGGCTCAACCCTTACTTATACAGACCCGATCCAGATACGTTTAACATATGTTCGCCATGAAATAAGTACGCGCCCAACACAATCCACCGCTTTGCAGCCTAACTTAAACCTAAACCTTCCCCGACATCCATTTCTCTCTAGTACAAACTCGTCGAAACAGCTTGTTCTTTTGCTGGATCTCATCTTTTGGATTACCAAGTCGACTTCGTCTAGCTTTGCTGCTCCGAAGCGTTGGATTTAGCAACTAAAACTCCAACGACAATATGAATAATCGAGCTCTCGTAAACTTTCTCTTTATGGCCACCATTTCAGCGCCTAACTCAGCTTATAATACTTAATGCTTTTTCTTAGCATTAGAAGCGTGGGATATGCACTTTTTTTAGCTGCATTGGACATACTATGAGTGAGCTAAGAGCCGTAGTGATTGTCTGATTATCAAAGGGATATAACCTTCGCTTACAGAGGTCCGACTGAGAAGTAGTCAAGCGGTGAGTTCCCTAAAAAAATTAGGTTCGATCAAAAATAAAACGTCGGGCTCGGCAGGACTGAAGCTCTCTCCTCTAAGTAACTTAGCACATACTTCATTTTTGATGATACTTTAAGGAAGAGAGGAAGCTACAACTTGTTGGAGTCTTAGCAAAGGCAATGCGGATTTTCCAGAATGTTCCGAGGCTTGGACTTTCAGAAACAAAATAATATTAACTTTTTTTAAGGCTTTTTAAATTTTTCTTCCTTTATTTACAACTTAAAACTTAAAAAATATTCTTTTACAAATATCACCTAATTAAATATGTATGTACAGTGTAACATAAAAGTTTTCGTATGGTTTTTCACATTATCACAGCGACCTAATCTAATTTATTTTTACAATTAAGCAAATGCAACAATCTAAAATTATAAAAATTTACAAAACGAAAAATTAGTAAATTCTTTTTGAAGGAATATTCAACTATTCTTAGTCTACTTTCAGGCGTTAATTTCATATGATTATTAAGTTTAAATTAAAATTATTGTTTCATTGATTTTTACAAAAATTTGGAAAATTATGAAACACAATTATTACTATTTTTTTTTGCGGATTCTCTACAAAAAAATATTTTTGCAGATTCTCTACAAAAAATTATTTTTCCAGATTCTCTACAAAAAATTAACCGCTTCCTTCATCGATGGCAAAAACCAAAAACTATTATAAAGTTTGTGGGCAATTTTTATTTTTACTCAACACCAATCGCTCAGGATCGAGTCCCAACTTCTTCAAGGCATCATAGATTTTCGTACGCACTTCTACTGGAAAGTCACGATCACGTCCGAATACCCATATTTGGTCCGAATAGCCAATAGAGCCAAGACTGCCACAAGACCAAAGTATTGCAAAATTATCATAGTCTGTGTAGAGCACTTGGTATTTCCCCGAACCGGGTAGTAAGCGCGCAATTACATCCGGGAAGCGTGAGTTGAACTGTGCGCGTGCCGCGAGGAATTAATTGGAAAACAATTTTAAATAATTTTTTTTTAATTTACCTCTTTTTTTTATAAAAATTTACCTTGAAATCCATAATTGAAGACTTTCGATTCTCTGGCGTCGCATAGCCAAGATTCACAGACGGGTTGCCGGTTCTAGTAAATAGATTTAATTAATTAAAATATAATTTCTTATTAAATATTTAACTTACAGTCTGTTTATTGTTTTTATTGCTACCTCAAGCTCGAAATTATCGAATTTGGAGAGTTTTTCTTTGTGCAATGGCTGGAACTCCAGTAGCGTACAGCCAGAAGCGATTTCAGGTAGATAAAAAGAGCGTTCCACCTCATACCATTGGCCGAGTACCTAAGTAAAACAGAATAAGGCCAATTCAGTTAGATCAATAAAATATAAAAAATATTATATATGTAGTAATTGTAGATTTATTTTGTAAAAAGTTTTAATAGTTAAATGATTCACCCATCTCTCAGTGCACCCCAGTGGGTTGAAGAGTTAAGTTAAGTGAGCTTAAACGACTAAAATGGGTGGCAGCTGTAGAGCCTGATACAAGACAAATCACTTATAATCAGAAAGTACTTCTGAGAGCAAGAGATTAAAAGAAGCTCTATGCTAAATATAGCAGATATAGCGAGAGAAATACAATAACAACTTGTTTATGAGTTGATAGAGACTTTATTTTATGGTAGATGCCCTGGGAAACCACGTGCTTTCTGGAATTCCCCTTACATAAATCTTGATTCGAGGATACTTAATTTTTTTACTTAATGACTTAAGACGAACGCCTTAATGATTCTCCCATTAGAGGAGCCTCCTAAGCCTTCTCTTAACGGTATATGAATATTTATAGGAAGTTTTTTTCAAGAGAAAAAACCTTTTCCAGGAGAAAAAAATATTTAGAGATACTTGTAAAATCATGGGCAATGCTCTAAAAATCATACACCATTGGCCATCGGAGGTGAGATAATTGAGTTATGAGAAAAACCGTTAACTTCAAAATTATTCTACAACTCTGCCATCTCCTTCAAAGTAGTCCCTTTGGGCAGCTATACAACGATTCCAGCGCGTTTTCCATTCTTCGTAACGTTTCTGGAACCCTTCGACTGGGAGTTCCGCGAGTATCCACAGCTACCTGCATGTCCTTAATCGACTCACAGGGGGACATATCGGGCGAATAAGGCGGTTGTTGCAACACGGCGATTTCTTTAGTGGCCAAATACTGAGACACGCTGAAGGCGGTGTGGCTCGACGCATTGTCTTTATGAAAGATCCAGTCACAAGCGGTGTCTGAGAGCACCCTGTCAATCGTTTTCGCAATCTTTCGAGTACTTGGCGATAGTTGACTTGATTTACGGTTTGCCTCGGTGGAAGAAATTCTTTGTGGACGACTCCACGGCTATCAAAAAAGGCAATAATCATTGTTTTCACCTTCGACTTGCTCATGCGAGCTTTTTTCGGGCGGTTGTTGTGCGGAGACAATCATTGTGAGCTTTGGCATTCGGTTTCCGTGTAGCACTAGCACCATGTGCTTTTACAATTTTAGCGTACGTTTCCGAAGCTGTTGAGTCTAATTTGACGCAAAATTTTATCGCGACGCGTTGCTCTTGAGGAGCATACCAAGTACCTGGAATTAATTTTGGATAAAGACCAGATGTGGAAGGTAAATGTGGAGGAGGGGTGAAAAATGGTAAACAGTGCACAGCAAAAAGAGCTAATTCGCGTATCGCGATATTCTGCTTACTTTCACTCGAGATATTACTCAACCTAACATCATTAGAGTGGAAAGCTGAGGCGTTAGTGGCGTTAGGTAAATTCTCTGTCAGAATCTTGGGACGAAGCTCGATTAATTAGAGAACTGTGATGATGGCGCTTAAAATTCATGCATCCCTTTAAGCTAACGCAGTGTTGCAGTATTTTCCGGTCTAAGATAGCTAGCAAATTATCTCACAACGGAAAATGTAGATAAGGTGGCTGCAGAAAAACTGCTGAATAAATACTGTGTTCAAGGCCACAAGGGAAAATACGAGAATTGCTTCAAACACAATTTCCGAGAGGGCTATAAGACGTCTTAGTTTAAGATGAAGTACTTTGACAACATGCAGGATCACAAACCACATCCATATGTAGGAAGTGTAAGGAGGCAGCCATGAGTGAGACGTCGCTCATATATAGAACTCGTCTTAGACATATTCTAATTGACTACTTCTAATTGACTACTTCAGCTCGGTCTGAAAACAACATCTGTCTGGTATCAAAAAGATCGTTTGGTTTATTTTGCTTTATTTAAATTTATTTCATTTAATTTATTTTAATTTATTTATTTTAATTAATTTATTTTAATTTATTTATTTTAATTTAATTTATTTTATTTTATTTTATTTTATTTTATTTTATTTTATTTTATTTTATTTTATTTTATTTTATTTTATTTTATTTTATTTTATTTTATTTTATTTTATTTTATTTTATTTTATTTTATTTTATTTTATTTTATTTTATTTTATTTTATTTTATTTTATTTTATTTTATTTTATTTTATTTTATTTTATTTTATTTTATTTTATTTTATTTTATTTTATTTTATTTTATTTTATTTTATTTTATTTTATTTTATTTTATTTTATTTTATTTTATTTTATTTTATTTTATTTTATTTTATTTTATTTTATTTTATTTTATTTTATTTTATTTTATTTTATTTTATTTTATTTTATTTTATTTTATTTTATTTTATTTTATTTTATTTTATTTTATTTTATTTTATTTTATTTTATTTTATTTTATTTTATTTTATTTTATTTTATTTTATTTTATTTTATTTTATTTTATTTTATTTTATTTTATTTTATTTTATTTTATTTTATTTTATTTTATTTTATTTTATTTTATTTTATTTTATTTTATTTTATTTTATTTTATTTTATTTTATTTTATTTTATTTTATTTTATTTTATTTTATTTTATTTTATTTTATTTTATTTTATTTTATTTTATTTTATTTTATTTTATTTTATTTTATTTTATTTTATTTTATTTTATTTTATTTTATTTTATTTTATTTTATTTTATTTTATTTTATTTTATTTTATTTTATTTTATTTTATTTTATTTTATTTTATTTTATTTTATTTTATTTTATTTTATTTTATTTTATTTTATTTTATTTTATTTTATTTTATTTTATTTTATTTTATTTTATTTTATTTTATTTTATTTTATTTTATTTTATTTTATTTTATTTTATTTTATTTTATTTTATTTTATTTTATTTTATTTTATTTTATTTTATTTTATTTTATTTTATTTTATTTTATTTTATTTTANAATCGTTTTACATTATTTTGCTTTATTTTAATTATTTTGTTGTATATTTTGTTTTCTGTTATACAATATATGAGATTTTTTTTTCTTTTCCTCTGTTTTGTTTAAGTAATATATTTTTTTATTTACTTTATCATGTCTTATTTTAGTTTATTTTATTATCTGTTCTATTCTGTTTTATTTTACTTCATTTTATTGATTTACTTTACTTTATTATAATTAATCTATTTTATTTAGATTGAATTAGTTTATTTTATTTTATTTTTTTTGCTTTACTTTTTTCATTTTGTCTATTCATTATTCATTTAATCAAATTTATTTTGTTTGGCTTAATTTAATTTTAATTTAATTTAATTTAATTTGGTTTTAATTTAATTTATTTTATTTTATTTTATTTAATTTTTTTTATTATATTTCATTTTATTTTATATTCTTTTAATTTATTTTATTTTATTTTATTTTAATTTTTTTTTTATATTATTTTATCTTATTTTATTTTATTTTGTATTATTTTATTTTATTCAAATTTATTTTTAATTTTATTTGTTACGTACTAAATTTCTGTCAACTTTTATTTATATTAATCAAAAGCATTGCCAACACCTATGGATTAGGCGTATAAAAAAATTGACAAATCTATAACAATCATTTTGACGTCAAGATAAAACTTCGTATAATAAGCAGGGTACAAAGATGTTAATAAACATATTAAAGTTATTGATTAATACAATGAAACATAACGAGCTGAACTGAGCAAGCGCAAAAATATTCGCACCTCTGCACATACGCATGAGCTTTCAAAGCGCCAAAACGTAAACCGGTTTTCTCACATAGCTACACACCGCCAACAAAAGTTCACTCTCTTATTTAATGGAAACAAAAATATATTATAAGTAGAAATCAGTGATAAAATTAGTTCAAAGTCATTAAAGAGCTGAGAGCGACAAGTAGATGATTATAGCTCAATAAAAAAAGATTAAAAATATGCAAAAAATAAAAACAAACTGCCACAGGCAAGACGTGCTCATAAAAAATAAATTCCCCATACTTCATAGTGTTAACGTTTATATGTATGTACACAAGTAGAAATAGAATAGTTAAATAAGTAAAATTTATTTACGTACGTAAGTAGGGGACTTTGAATCTTCCGCCTTCCTTTTTGTTTGTAAATATATATATGTATGTGAGGTATACATGTATGTGTTCGCACTTGCATTAAATTAAAGATTATTAAATTAATTTAAATAAAATTAGATTGTTTGCATTGTGTTAAAGTGCTGGAACAAAATAAATTTTTAAAGCTCGCATATTTAGTTATTTAAATTACAAATGAACGTCAAATTAGTGATAAATTTATTATAACATTACATATACAATCACATATACATTTTTAAGTAAATATGTAAATTTATACAATGCGCCTGTCAATCAAATTGACATATCGACTGATAACACGAATTTATGCTTTACCGTCAACTTGTTTGGTTTCCAATAAATTATAATGAATAAATTCTAAATAATAAATAAATTTATATAAATTATTTTGACTATTTTATTTGAATGCTAGTTAATAAATAAATTAAAAAAAATGCAAATTTTTAATGCAGCAAAATAGCGCTCAAGAGAAAAACAACCATATTGATAAGCTGGGAGAAAACAAAATTAATTCGAAAATTAAATCTCAGTTGTGAAACGCTAGAAGCACTTAAGTCGAGTTATTTTGTTTTCGTTTTCAATTTGTATAGCAAGTTAACCACAACATATGAACTCTGAAAATTAAAACTATTCTCTTGAGCAATTAAATCATACTTAGACTTTTTGACTTGTGAACACCGATGGTACATACATATGTACAATGGTATATCTTATGTGTGGCTGTCCATTGCTCATTGCCATTATATGCAATGCCATTGCGAATCTGTCGAATTGTTTATCCTTGAGCTACTCATCAGCAGATTATATTATATTTATGTCCATATATATATATATATATATATATATATATATTTACCAATTCGCTGGCCATA